TGTTATGTTATACGTTATGTTATGCTATGTTATATGTTATGTTATTTTATACGTTATGTTATGTTATACGTTATGTTATGTTATGTTATGTTATATGTTATGTTATGTTATGTTTGTTATGTTGTCATTATGTTTGTTATGTTGTTATGTTATGTTATGCTATGTTATATGTTATGTTATGTTATGTGATGTGATGTTATACGTTATGTTATGTATGTTATGCTATGTTATATGTTATGTTATGTTGTTATGTTATACGTTATGTTATGCTATGTTATATGTTATGTTATTTTATACGTTATGTTATGTTATGTTATATGTTATGTTATGTTATGTTTGTTATGTTATGTCATTATGTTTGTTATGTCATTATGTTTGTTATGTTGTTATGTTATGTTATGCTATGTTATATGTTGTTATGTTATGTGATGTGATGTTATACGTTAAGTTATGTATGTTATGCTATGTTATATGTTATGTTATGTTGTTATGTTATGTGATGTTATATGTGTGTGTGTGTCTCAGGAGAGGTTCAGGCGGCTCGCGGTTTCATGATCACCTCAATCTTTCTGTGCGGTGTTGGTCTGCTGGTCGCTGCTGTCGGCATGAAGTGCACCACCTGCCTGTCTGACAACAAAGAACAGAAGAACAAAGTGGCTGTGGCTGGAGGCTCCCTCTTCATCATTGCAGATATGTTGCTATTCACTCTCTGTAGAAGCAAACCTAGAGAATCTGCTCAGTAAAACTGAGGCAACCATTAACACTCGGTTTGTGTGGGTGGATTTCATCAGATGCGTTGCGTAAAGATAAAACAGCTGCGACACACTAAAACAACTTATGTAAAGTCTACCTAACATTTGTCAATGAATTACACAACTAATTATTTACTTATAATTACTTATAAAAGTGGGTAATATGAAGTCTTATTTGTCAGTGTTTGTTTGAAATAGCTTCTGTAGCCTACAGATGTCTGCAATGAACAATAAGTTACTTTTCACTGCATTGACTTCAGCACAACTAATGCTGCATTAAAACCCAAATTCACGTATCCGCTCACAACCCAACCGCACGCTCCAGTCTTCAGCGCAGTAACCATAAAACTTCAACATAACACAAATGTCAGACATAACTGAATATTAAACACTAATATGTCTTTCCCTTTACTCAAAAACACATCAGATAACACTTAAATTCAACAATTACTCTCCTGATCCAGCCTTAAGCAAAGCATGCTGGGAACTAAACATCCACTGCCCAGTTTAATTATTTCTGCTAAAAAATAAGTTTAGTTTGACATATTTAAGTAGATTGGACACAATCAAATTAAATTTAGAAATTAGAAACGTTCAAGAAATTGCATTGCTTTAAGTCATTTAATGAAGTAAATTTAACAAGCACCCAAGATCATTATTTACAGTGCTTATATTCATTAAGAAATTACAAATTTTTAATTTGGAGAACTAACAGAGATGAGAAGACCCAGGCCAGTGTTGAGCTTAAAGTGATATTTCAGCCAAAAATCACCATTTTGTCATAATTTACTCACCTTCATGTTGTTCCAAACCTGTATGAGTTTCTTTCTCATACATAAAATAATATATTTTGAAGAATGTTGGCAACCAGTAATTGGTCCCCACTGACTTCCATAGTATAAGAGAAAAAAACTATGCAAGTCAATAGGGAGCAGACACTGTTTGGTTACCAACACTCCTCAAAAATGTCTACGTTTGTGTTCAACAGAAGAAAGAAAGTCATACAAGCTTTGAACTTGAGTAAATGATGACAATTTTCATTTTGAGTGAACTGTCCCCTTTAACAAATTCTGGTAAACAAAGTTATTAAAGTATTAAAATGGGTCTGTTCACATGCAGCATGTTGATGTCAGATCTGGTCTTATTTCTACAAGGGTTTGTGCTCTCGCCGCCACCAGCTGGTATGGAGAAAACATAAGAAAGAAGTTCTTCGATCCGTTTACTCCTACAAATGCAAAGTAAGCATCAGAAGTTTAGTCTAGTAAAACCCTGAATGTAGTGAATGTATCATTCAGCTGTGAGGCTTTATATCTTCATTCTTAATTGCCGAATAATACATCAGTAAATATTAATCCATCCAAAATTATGAATATTGTTATTGATTTATATTTTCTTGAAAATCTGTGTCTTTTGTCATTGTGTGTGTAGTTCCTCTCGTGTCTGTGCTGTGGTTTAATGTGAGCTGGTGTTGGTTGTGTGCACACAGATATGAGTTCGGGAAGGCTCTGTACGTGGGCTGGGGCGCCTCGGCTCTGACCCTCATCGGCGGGATCATGCTCTGCTGTAACTGTGCGAGTAAACCCGCTGGGAAATCCTACCCGCCTCCTCACGCCGCAGGACGACCGGGAACCGACCGCGTGTGAATCCAGTCACAAACAGCACATGTCTGCCAGTGGTGTGTGCCAAGCAGCTTCTGCATCCTTGACTTATGAATTGTTTTATTACCAAAACTTCTCATGTGTTTCAAAGGACTTGATAAGCTCCGTCAATGTGTTTTCTGTACAAAGTTGCGAATTACACTTGTGTGAAAAATTTGAATATTGCGTAAAATATTTGCGAATAAAGCACTGTTTCCATTCAATGTGTTCAAGAGAACAAAATCATCACTTACTGAGAAACTAAGTATCAGTAATAAAATAATAAAAAGTTGCTGCATCCGGTGAAGACTGTGACTATTTCCCCCTATATACTAAATGAAGAAAGGCATTAACTTAAAGCAGCACTATGTAACTTTTTCTGTGTTCAAAATTTGCAAAATGTATATAATGAGCGAGTACAGCATGTCAGAATTATTAATTAATTACAGCATTTGAGGTGGAGTGCGATGAGATCGAGTCAATGTTTAGTCCAGTTATCCAATCACATCATCTGTTGAGGCAAAATCATGTGTTTTTGTTTGCACACTCAGGAATTTATTTGGTAAATGTTTCCATCATAGTTTATGTGTGTTACTTTAAAAAAATACTTTATTCTTACTGAATAAAAAAAAATATCCGCCTCAATTGAGTGCATGAGGTTTTTATGCACATTTTAAGATTTTATGTGCATCAAGGTGTTTACATCCAGAGTTCTTTCATGCAGTATCCCAAAATGTACATAAATATATATGTGGATGGAAACACAGTGTGACAGTGTCAGTCTGATCGTAATGCTCAAGCACACAGTGTTGCAAACCACAAATGACTCTGAACATCAAACTGGGACAGGAGAAAGTATCTGAACACCCAAAACAACCACACACCTCAGCTTTAATGTTTTCTAGTGTAGTTCACTCGCTATCAACAGATATTCCATAAACATGATGATCCTGAAACCGGAAGGTTAGCGTGTTTGTGTGTTTGCTTGATAAAGACTCGTTCTCATACACTAGTCTGTGTTTGTTCTCTGTCCTGTGTGTGTTTGTTTGGACACGCTGAGGGTTGAACCAGCGCAGACCTGCACCACATTCTTCACACATTATCCATCAGAACAGAATAACAGAGTTACGATGGAAATATCCTGACGTGTTCTCCCGCATCTCTTCATGGATGTGCTAATAAACTCCAGACTGAAGGCACTGAGCTGTGATGGAGAAGCAGACGTGACCCACGTAGCCAAAACGGTTTGGCCCGATAATGGCCCAGATCCGGCAGGCCGGATGAAATAACTCAGCCCGGCTGCGGTTGCCAGACTCGGCATGGACATGGGATGAATGACGCCCCAGAATCGGCCCAAATACACTGGGCCGAGTCCGGCTGCCAAAACTGCCGGCATTGGGCCACAATCACGCCGACAAGAATTGAATCACTTATCCAGTACTGGCCCTGAAACTGGGCCAACACCACCGGCATTGGGCCAAAATCACGCCGACAAGAATTGAATCACTTAGCCAGTACTGGCCCTGAAACTGGGCCAACACCACCGGCATTGGGCCAAAATCACGCCGACAAGAATTGAATCACTTAGCCAGTACTGGCCCTGAAACTGGGCCAACACCACCGGCATTGGGCCAAAATCACGCCGACAAGAATTGAATCACTTAGCCAGTACTGGCCCTGAAACTGGGCCAACACCACTGGCATTGGGCCACAATCACACCGACGAGCGGCCCAATGCCGGTGGTGTTGACTTCGTTTCAGTACCCAGACTCGGGCCAGTACTGGCTAAGAGTACCATTTTGGCTGGTGTGATTTATATATATTTTTTACACTTACTCATACAGAATAACAACTTCTAAAATATGTTTATTAAAGACTCCTTCCAGTTTTGATATAGAACCAGAGCTTTGAATAATTTATTTTTCCACAAAATGACATTGTTACCTTAAAATCCTTAAGATGGCATCTACTTCCAACTAAAATCAAATACATATCTTACAGTGTCCTTGTTAAGTCTACATGTACTTATGCATGTCAACTAAATATGTCACCTTTACAAAGATCAAGGGTTTGGCCCTTACACCTTTTCAAGTATAAAAATGACACAATGAAAATATGAGTGATATTAGAATTTATTTGAAAAAAAAACAAAAACAAGAACTCCAGGAGCTTCCTCAAGTAAGCGTACCCTAAAAGAGGGACAGATTGACAGAAAGAGAGATAAAAAGGGGAACAGACAATGACACATATGATTATTCAGACAATCTCAGACTGATAACATGAATGGTAACTCTGGTAAATGTTAACATTTGGAACATACCTTTGGAAGAATTTGTTTGCATTCGGGCCCGCTCTTTTCTTCCCCCATCTCTGTCCAAAGTGAGCAGTAGCCATCTTTGATGAACTTTTAAATCTCTCCATCTGATGCACAGCCAGTACTTGCATTTCTTTGCACTGATTGAGAAAAAAAAAAGAGACCAGTCACAATACTATAGAGCAGTGGTGTCAAACTCAAGAGTCCTGCAGAGTTTAGCTCCAACCCTAATTAAACACACCTGAACCAGCTAATCAAGCTCTTACTAGGCATAGAAACTTCCAGTCAGGTGTGTTGAGGCAAGTTGGAGCTAAACTCTGCAGGACACCGGCCCTCCAGGACCGAGTTTGGACAGCCCTGTGCTAGAGTCTAGCACTATGTCAACAAACTCACAATTATAGCTTCATTATAAATAAACATTACTTTGATATTATATGTGTAGAACGGTTTATTCAAATATAATGTTATATGTTTGATTATCAAATGTTTACTCACCAGTGTATTAAGTTATTCTGGCAATTAGCAGCACAAAAAGCCCATCAGGTTTTGTCATTAGATGTCAAAGCTCGTGCGCATTTCTTGAAACTCATATAGCAAAAATAATGTTACATTTCCCTTAACCACTTTAAGCTTGTTTCATTATATGAATTAAATCATTAATTTCCAAATGTAGTTAAAGAAAAAAGAGAATGTTGGATAAAAGGAAAAAAATATTAATAGGAATTTAAATAAACATTTTTTACTGCAGCTTTATTGCATTTTATCATGTCATATATTTCTCATAAATGTCCAGCATTCAAATAATGAATACATGAATGAAAACTACAAGACAATTTCAAACTAAAAAGATAAACATTGTTATTTATATTTTGAATAAAGCGCATGTTTTTTCTAGTCCTGGAAACTGATTGGTCCTTCAAGTGCACTATATTAGTGGACTAATGTAGGGAAGAAGGAATGAGGGTATGGGGTGAATTCAGACACAGCCACTGTCTGTATGAATGTATGAGTCACTGAATCATTCACTCCACTGATTTGTTCAAAAACACTGATTCATTCAGGACTGAAACACTGCTAACACTACCCAGTGTTACAACAATTCTGTTATGAATGATCACAATGGAAATTACATTTGTATTTAAATCAACATAAAAATCAAAGTGACTTACTTGCATGTTCCATATACTTTAATGATTCATCAGTGAGGTAATTCTACAGAAAATAATGATTGTCTTCATAATCAAAATGCAATAACTTGGTTCGCCTCTGAAATGACCTTCCTCTTCAGCTGATGCAGCACAGTTATATTAACCAGTAGTCAGACATTGCATTGTCTTACTATGTGCAAATTTCAGCTTGTTCTGGTGTGAAACACCCACATATTTTATTTCCAGTCTTTTTTTCATTGGTATTTGTGTAGGACAGCATAGATTAATAATCACTAGCTTTATCTAGTAAGTGGCACCCAGGACCAGGAGAGCAGATCAAGCACATATTTTTACATTTAATCCAATCAATTCCTTATGATAAAATCAAAACTTTACATTTTCACCTCAGTGAATCTAGACCATTTACAGAAGTAGCATGGGTTGACATTGGCGTAGTTGTCTCCGACTCTCTAACTGTGATGTGATCCTCTGGTTACTGATGAGAGAAGGAATGGAAGGACATCAGACTGTGGTTCTTATTCTGTTGCCATCAGATATGAAATGCTTAATGACAATAGTTCAAGAGCGAGCTGAACTGATTAGCATCTCCTCATCTACATGTAGAATTAACAAATGTCTGGTTGGACTTTCCAGCTTTCACAGATTCCAGAAAGGCTGGTGGGAATTTTGACGTGAGTTTTTTCCACAGCATCTCTCTGTGTCGAGTTCTTTTCCACTCTACGCTCTCAGAATGACTCCCTTCAGACGCCCAGGACAGCCGTGTGGTCTCCGCATGTGGGCCAAAGATGTCACTTTCACCCACAAGCACCTCGTGAGAGCCAGCAGTCCCACAGGGTCACGCTCCACCAGACCTCGTCAAATGGTGCGACCGCCAGTCAGATTTCAGGCAAGGCTCACGCTATGTCAGCGCTGAAAGAAGGCTTTTCCTTCAGGCTGAGAAACCAGAGGAGTTTCTGGAAACGCTGGCTCCCTGTGTGCTTCAGGGATGTGCTACTGCAACCAACACGTTTATGTTAATTTGAGGTTTGCATTTATGCATCTGGACGCTCTGAGTGTCTATACGGCTGTGAGAGTGACTTATGTGCTGCATACAGACAGGAGGATCATTCAGTCGTACAATAGCAGGAGCTCATTCATCAGGAGCTGCTGTTCAGAACATCCGACTGTGCTACAAAACACACAGTATGTTATTGCTCTGAATGTTTAAATAAAGAAAAAGGTATGTGATGTGTGCATTTAACATGACGCATTTATCAAGTGCAGCGTTTGTGCTCCAGTCATGAATGATTCTACTTCTGCTACTGCACTAATTGATCAGACGCACCACTTTCATCTGTTGGACCAGAAGACCAGGAGTGAGTCTTTTCATGCCAGACAGGAGGAAAACGCCTAGAAACCACCAGAATGACCAAAAATACACACAGTGGCCGCATATCAAGTGGCCAGAGCTCCCTTTAGTCATTCCTTTAAAAATATTGTTACGAAAAAAAGACAAATTAAAGAGCAGAACCTATAAACCCTTTTGCCTGATTTTTTTCTCCATTTATATGGCAATAAACACTCCATAAAGATGCATTAAAGTTGTAGTGGTGGCGTGTTATTGGTCTCTTGGCTGTTTCTTGGTCTATTTGATCAGAAGCTTTGATGGATGGACCATCCGTTCAGGATGTTAGTGGAGTGTTTTTTAGACCGCAAACTGACAACAACGCAAGTCTGGATCCTTCTCTTGATTGCTTCAGGTTTCCTGCCAAGTTATCAAGAGTTACTTTGCATTTCTAAAAGTCAGTTAAAGAAAAATGAACGAAAAAGAATAGCAAGTTTGATTCAAAAGCCTTTTGTTGCATATGATTATAGCAGCAATGAAACCAACTAAACTACAGTTCCATGCATTGAAGAAGCAGAAGCTTTTATTCAAAGCTGAAGTCAGTTAAACGTCTGCACAGAGAGCATGTGCATTAGCCAGTAGCTGGACTGATGGAGGAGAAGGAAAAACACACAACAACCACAGGCATGTGGCCCGTTTCCATCCAGCGGTTCCTCTTACACACTTTCTCCATGCACTGCCGTCTAGAGCCCAGCAATGTTTCTCATTGTGCTTCTGTGCTCTGTTCTTCTGCTCATATAACGTCTATAAAGCCAACAAAATATACCCTGGTTCCTCCAAACAGAAGACGTGAGGTGGGAGAAACTGTGGTGTATGAAAGGCTTTATTTCCCCTAAATGTGTATTAAATACATGTTTGAACGTTTCTAGAGACTTTTTCTTTGATCAAAATGACAGAATGACGCACATTATTTGGAGTTGAATGCACTACTGTAATAATTAGAACATTTAAACAAAGCTTCCGATGTTAAATCAAAATCTTGTTACATTATGTTCTCACTGGAAAGCTCATGATGCATCGAGAAAAACTGATATCACTGAATTAACCTAAATACATTCATTTATACCAACAAAGCTTATTTTTATGGGTTAAATCATGTAGAAAAAGGTAGCAGTTAGATGTACCACGTTTTGCCGTGTAGTCATCACAGATGTTTTTATGATTTATTTCTAATCATGAAAAACCCTGTCAAACATCTTCTTGTTGTGGATATGCTTTGGCAAAATGTGCTTAAAGTATGACACTGAGAAGACCGAAATAAAGTTTAATTACAAAATGGTGCTGATACACTTTCATTTGTCCGTCAGGCTTCAGTCGATGGGTCTGATCATCATACGCACAGACTTCATGGAGTAAAAACCCCCTCCATAATCGGCCCAGAATACGCCGTCCTGAAAGCGGCTGCGATAGACTCCTCCAGAGTACCACACGCCGTTCAGATTGGCCTGACCGCAGGCGCTGTACCACCAGCCAGCCTTGTGGAAATGAGCACAGTTACCTGAGAGACAATCAACAATCAACATCTTCTCTCAATTAATGTATCTTGATTTAAGAATGTGTAGATATTTGCACTGGAAAACAAGACGTATTTTGTTGTTGTCCTTGTAAACATGTCAGTCTGAATGACGTACCGTGTGTGATTCAGTTTGAATGACCCACAGTGACCCAGGGTTTATCATGACACGCCATTAAAGGGGTCATATGATGCCATTTCAAGTTTTCCTTTCTCTTTGGAGTCTTACAAGCTGTTCGTGAATAGATAAGATCCCTGAAGTTGCAAAGACTAAAGTCTCAAAACCAAAGAGATATTCTTTAT